AACTCCTGCCATTAGGGTTTCGGATTGGAACCTGGACTGAGGGAATTAAAGAACTAGGGTTATGAAGGGGGGAGAAGACAAAGATTGAGGATTTTTTTAATATTTTTTTTATTGTTTGGGTAAAATCTGTTGACATTTTGGTTTAAATACGCGTTTGATCACGTGAGAGTCACGTGCATGTCGATAAGCTCTGGTTACCGCCTCTCTTTACTCGTTTCTTGCATGCGTATATACACCGCACCAAATAGGTTTCGATTATTAACGTCGGATTACTTCTGACTTAGGCGACACATTGAAGAGAGGATGGTTTTTTCACGGGACGAATTTTCAAAACCACCCTATTTACAATTTCATTCCCTAAAAACGACCCATTTTAAAATTATTTGTAAAAACCGACCTGGTTTCAGCCTCAGCGTTGAAGTCAGGTCGGTTTTTACAAAAAAAAGTTCTGAAACTTCACGGGACTTGAAGTCCCGTGAAGTTTAGCGGGTATTTAACCAAGCTGCTGAACTTCACGGGACTTCAAGTCCCGTGAAGTTCTATAGTTCAAACAAACTTCACGGGACTTGAAGTCCCATGAAATTTGTTCGAATTTATTTTGTACGTGCGCGCAAGCAGGTCTCCTTTGCTGTGCTTTACTCATTAACACATTTAATTATTAGCCTAATCAAAAGTTGAATGCACGAATAAAGAAAAAAATATGCAGATCCACTTCATCTAATTAATTGAATAAATAAGGAGGAGTTCAGTGCGCCAATCCAATTCTCCCAGAATTCAAGGAGGAGCGCCATGGAGCAGCAGGACAGCTGCAGGAGCTCCCTCAAAGATCCGCCAGCTCAGCCCACCCCACCGCCTTGGCAAACCCTACCACCGTCTTATGGGTCCCATTCAGCTCCCCATCGTGGCCATGATGTGTCGCTATGGGAGCATGACGAAGCACGAGGAGGGAGGGGGAGGCGAGGGTTTAGAGGGAGAGAGGTTATGGGGGTTTTGATTCTGACGAGGGGGGAAGAGAGAGATGAGGGGGGAAGGGAATCTGATGATTTCGTCGGGGATGAAGTCCAGGGCTAGTTACATAATTTGAGAAATAGAATCGCGTGGGATTTTTGTGTGTTTTCTGAATAAATCTTCACGGGAGTTGAACTCCCGTGAAGATTTTTGAACAATTTACACTTCACGGGAGTTCAACTCCTGTGAAGTTTAAAAATATGCTAAACTTCACGGGAGTTGAACTCCCGTGAAGTCTCGTAAAAAAATTTTCAGAAACCGACCTGGTTTCAGCGCCAGGGCTGAAACCAGGTCGGTTTTTGAAAATAAGTACAAAAGAGGTCGTTTTTTGAAAATAAATGTTGAAAGAGGTTGGTTTTGAAAATTTGTCCTTTTTTCACGCTTTAAAAATCCAAGGACAGTATATTCACCTTGACCTATTTGGTATGGAAATTTGATTGAAATACCCAACGTATCCTTGAAAAACATGCGAGCGGAAGTTGTGATATGGCTTCCTAATCACATACTATCCAATATTTTTGTGCTCGCATTTCTAGTTTTTAAAGATATCTAGGGGCATTTCACGGGAAAAATAGGTTAAGGTACTACCGAACCATAATTAAGGATGCTTTTTGTCTTGATTGAACCTTATAAGTAACTTTCGTATTATCTAATGGACTGAGATCACTGGATTTGTTCTGTCAATAACACTTCATTGAATACCAAAAAATTGAACTATCTCGCGCGCTCGTCGCTGACTACGTACTTGGGTTTGTGTACTTTTTACTATAAATGATTCTCTACCTTCTATAGCAACTTTTTGATCGTCCATATTTTTAGCTTTGATATAGCATTCATAATCTACTCAATTATAGCCGATAGGATAGAATTGCCAATTTGATGGTCCCCGCGCCCCTCTTGTATGTTTCATTGATATTGCACTGATGAGATCACCATCCGTGGTTCTCCAATTCAAGAGGGAAATGCCTTACCCGCCTTCATGTTTCTTACAAATAAATGTTCTTGATATGGATATAAAGTCCACGAAGCACACAGCAAAACTTTCCAGAGTGGAAAATGAAGCGCAACACGATCATTATCAAATCTACTGCATGAACAATTTTGACTATGATTGATATCATTTATGAAGTACTTTTCCCTTCACTAGATTTACTGAAACCGAAGAACCAATGCGCTAAATAACTAAAACTTGACAGCTAACGTTCATTATTCACAGTCCTGCACTAGGTTACTTTAAATTAAAGATGGAGATTCCTAAAGCAGCAAGGCTCGTTTAACTCTACACAATTGTTCTCATAGCATCAACGATACTGCAGTTTCCCGCTCAAAAAAAAAAAAACAATACTGCAGTTTTTCCTGTTAGCAATCAGCGTTGCCATTTGCCATCTTGGCTTTGTGTCATCCTGCAATCCAACATTTGCATCAAATTGTTACAACACTATTCAGATCTTGCAGGCGCAGAATACAAAGAAAAAGAAACCAACTCAGCATATGGAGCTATATAAGATAACATCTGGGAAGCAACTAGTCAGTGGTAACAAAGGAAAAACTAGTGTTCATTCTTAGGAAGCTCGAGGTTGCTCTCACTGAGGTTAAAATTAAAATGAGAGGGAATCGCTTGAGATGGTTCAGTCATGTGCAATGAGGCCATTAGATCTAAGTGCATAAGAGAAGTTATAAGAGTAAAATTATCGTTCCGACCCAAAATTTGCGATAAAGGCTTTCTCGCTATACTTGTTTTATCAAACAAAGAACTGGTGATGTTTGCTTACAACAAAGAGGAAAGTAACTATGAGCAGATAATATATAGCAAAGAAAACTGGTATAGACGAGAATGAACTTTCCATCAGAACAAATGCCAATCCAGATGTATTCTATACATATCATTAGATAAGCATACCCTGGTTGCCAGAAGTAAAAGAAAAACTGTCAGCAAAGCTCTTTCAATAAAAAATACTTCATCTTTTAACATGCCCAAATACTGAATGAGCTCCAATCTTGCATTTGCAAATAATTCTTTATGGTGTTAGGAAAGATCTGCGTATACATAACGATGTGTATGCATATATGGACGATAACTTCCATTTTTATAGACCTCTACATGCTTCACAAGATTCTCTGTCACAACACTAACTACTTTCCCAAGTTCAAGAGGGATTATGATAAGTGAAGGATAAAAGAGAGAATCGGTGGGTATGAAATAATAATCTTAGTATAAAAGCATGCGAAAAACCTATAGAAACTCAATCGTACTGCTGCAAACAAAAGAGCAATCAAGAGTCTATAATATGGACACTACGAATCTCCTTCTGTTCAATCCACCAAAATTTCTAATCCATACTTGTGACAACTTTTTTGTAGATTAGGTTGAGTGATGAGCTAAACATAGCATGGGCATTTACACCAAGAAGCTATGTCTGACTTAACCAACGGAAGATGTGACGCCTCAATCTTAGTCCCACATTGACTAAATAGTGGGCATTTGCATGGTTTATATAGTGAAGCCAAAAGCTAAGTGTAGTATCGGCTAGCCGATTTTGGTAATGGTTTGAGCCAAACAATGTGCTACAATTAGTGGGTCCCACAAATTACAATACGCCGACGGGCTCACTGGCCATGAGCATGACAAATGGTATCAAAGGAGTTTGCCAGTCGAAAGTGTGGAGCTAAATGCTATGCGGGATGGGATTAAGTATCATACCACGTGAGCACGGTGGAAGCGACCTCTAGCGCCCGTAAGAGTCACCTCTAGAGTCCGTATCACTGCTGATGCTGGGATGTGCTAATAGTCATGTCTCGACGAGGACGTCGCATATGTAAGATGGGATATCACTGCTGATGCTGGGATGTGCTAATAGTCATGTCTCGACGAGGACGTCGCATATGTAAGATGGGATGGTTGTGATGCCCAATCTTAGTTCCACATCGACTAAATAGTGGGCATTTGCATGGTTTGTACAGCGAAGCCAAAGGCTAAGTGTAGTATCAGCTAGCCGATTTTGACAGTGATTAGAGCCAAACAACGTGTTACACTTAAGTGGGTCCTACGGCTTACAATGCGCCATAGGGCTCGTGGGCCAGGGTTGTGATGGAAGACTCCATAGATACTTGCAAAAACATTTCTACATTGTGTCTCAGGTTTGCAATATATGTATAATTTGGATATTCTTATGATGCATACATTCTTCAAATATAACTAGGGGAAAAGAACATCAAGAGATGTAGCCAACAGAAAACTTACTGCATAGTTGCGAAGTACTTTTAAAATAGGTGTTTATCCAACAAGATTTAAACACGAGCCACTACCCATCTTCATCTGAAACTTAATAAGCTTTTAAGCTGCTGAGAACCTCAAAAATTATATATAAGATGGAGTATATCGGATCTTCCACTTGACAACAGCTAATTATCTTACTAAAATTAGATTATTTCATAGCGCCCGTAAGAGTCACCTCTAGAGTCCGCATCACTGCTGATGCTGGGATGTGCTAATAGTCATGTCTCGACGAGGACGTCGCATATGTAAGATGGGATGGTTGTGATGCCCAATCTTAGTTCCACATCGACTAAATAGTGGGCATTTGCATGGTTTGTACAGCGAAGCCAGAGGCTAAGTATAGTATCAGCTAGCTGATTTTGACAGTGATTAGAGCCAAACGACGTGTTACACTTAGTGGGTCCTACGGCTTACAATGCGCCAAAGGGCTCGTGGGCCAGGGTTGTGACGGAAGACTCCATAGATACTTGCAAAAACATTTCTACATTGTGTCTCAGGTTTGCAATATATATATAATTTGGATATTCTTATGATGCATACATTCTTCAAATATAACTAGGGGAAAAGAACATCAAGAGATGTAGCCAACAGAAAACTTACTGCATAGTTGCGAAGTACTTTTAAAATAGGTGTTTATCCAACAAGATTTAAACACGAGCCACTGCCCATCTTCATCTGAAACTTAATAAGCTTTTAAGCTGCTGAGAACCTCAAAAATTATATATAAGATGGAGTATATCGGATCTTCCTCTTGACAACAGCTAATTATCTTACTAAAATTAGATTATTTCATAAATTTCATGGCAGCGCTGAAGGCTCTAACTCAGTTATCTGGGCTAGGAATATGGAGCAACAAATAAAAGATTCATGTAAAGCTGACAACCAGCTATGGAACTTTGTCACTTTTTAGAGCTTTTTCATCTTTAAGCAGCGCCCCAGATCTAAACCCATTTAGGCTTGCATAATGAATGTCAACTATTTAGAAAAGACAAACAGAAATAATTTCCAAAAAGATTCAAGAAACATAAAGCATAAACATAAGATTAACATACGGAGAAAAGAATACCTGTGTTGGCAGGTTTTTCTAAAGGTTGCGCTTGAGACTCTTTAGGAGCAATAATGACAGTCAGATTCTCATTAACGTCGTAGCCAAGCACTTGGCAGATAGCCTTCCCAAATGCCCGGTGGGCCCATTTTCTCTTTGTATTAGCGATAGACAATGAGTGCTGCACAAGTCCATTGCAATCCCCAAACCTCTTCCATGTCCTCTTGCCAATTGCTGCACATACCAAGCAGAAGAACTCCCCCTTGACATGGTTCTTCTCATAGTAATTTTTTAATTCAGGGTTCATTGAGAAAAGGCCCGAGTAGAATTTTAAGGCTACAGACTCACGCTTCTCCACCTCATTCTTGTCATCATCCTCATCTTCAGATGATGAGGAGGCATCTGATTTTGCAAGGAAATTTTGGCATGCTTTCAGGACTTTCTGCTGCACTGCAGCAGCATTTACCTTGGCCTGTTCCTCAGCAAGGGGGGTTTGCTTCTGTAGTGGGGTGTTCCTTTCCAAACCAGTTGCATCAGGTGTTTGACCTTGGTTAGGGTTGCATGGCCTTAACACAATCTCAGCAGCTGGCAGATTAGTCTCTTTACCTTTCCTCTCCTCCTTGCTGACCTCTAGATGAGTTGGAATATCCACTTTTTCATTATTGACATCTTCTTCCTGCAAATTATGACAAATTTGAAGACCAACGTACACTGAGCAGAAGTGAACCAACAATTTAGAGATAACAAGAGTACAGAAAGAAATGAATTATATATACATCTAGTGTCTCAATCCTCTTTTCTTTTATGCAATCTGTTAGAACCTCATCCGCATCATCTTTTCGCACATCATTCTGAAACAATAAGATAGAAAAAACCAACTGTTAGAAATAAATTGCTAACCAGAGAAAAACACTACATAAATCATTTGTGTTTAGTATCACTATAAGCTCAGAAAAGCATTTTACATCTGATAGATCTACAATCTCTTTGATATCATCTTCTTTCTGAATCTTCCCGCACAACATTAGTGAAATATAAATATTAAATAGATAGATGAAAAAACAACCATAACAAAAACAAGAACTGATAGTAAAGATGAGAAGTTCATTAACCAGCTAAACGCACGCACACATGCACGCACACGCGCGTGCGCACACAGATACACATGTACAAATACAAACACTGCAAGGTAGTTCCAACAAGCACATGCACATGCACACACCCCAAAAAAAGATCCCTCCACCAAGCCACCTAGAAAAAGAGAAGAAGCATAGACAAGTAGACACACACGCACACACAAATACAGAAAAGCAATTATAGGTTTTCAATATATGTAACCCAATGTTTTAAATGTCGGCCGACATATCGGTTTGATGGCTTGACCGACACGACATGGACGTTTTCAACTCGTATGTCGGTTTTCAGGGCCAAATCGGAAATATCAGGGTCATATCGGGCATATCGGCCTATTTTTAAGCTTTGAAAAATCGACCGATATGGTACTTTTCTTTAAGATCTGTTTTTTGTTATCGGGTTTGGGTTTAGTGATAAATACCCAAACCCGTTTGACCCGTTCTCATGTTTAAGGGTTTCTTATGAACCCGATAGAAAGAATTTATGAACCCAAATCCATATATTATTTACTTATAAATATGTTTAGTCTATAGAATTTATAAAGTATGCTTATATTGAATTTATGAATGCTTAGATTACATTTAGGACATGATATTATACATATGCGCACTACCCGATATGACAATCCGATATTTAGTCAATGTCCTCCGATATATCCCCGATTTTCGCTATCCGACATGGATTTCAGCCATCCGACATGAACCCGACATCCGACATTTAAAACCTTGATGTAACCATGATAGTATGGTGTTATTGAAAAGGTGTCATAGACTCTACGCTTATGGAGGGTGTTGACTGTTGAGCAATCAAGCAACGGAAGCCATCTACATGGAGGAAACCACCAGCATATCAATAAGATGTCAGTGGGCTCACAAAAAGGTGAAGAACACTGAGGTTCGGGTCCAGGAGTGCTGTCCTGTATGACTCAAGCAAGTTGACACAGTATTCAGAGAAAAGTCAGCAACTAATCACATTTGGCTGTGAAGGGGATGCAACAGCTCGGCTCTACTAACTATTGCTTTTTTACAGTATTCTGCTCTGTTTTTCAAATTAGTAATTGTAGGTAGTGGCTTAGGGGTTGTTTGGTTGGCTAAAAAAATAAGGAAATCAATTATAATTTCCTATAATATGTTCTTTTTTTGTGTTTGGTTCACTTCTTAAAACTAAGAAAAGAGATGAGATGAGATGAGTTGTCACCATATTATTAGATGATGTGACTCATTTTTAAGGAAACCTATTTCATGAAATTTTTTGAGGAAATGGATGAAAATCAACTTTTAATGGTTTTCTTATCTTATTTTCTTTTCTTTGATTTTAGGAAATCAACCAAACAAGCCCTTAGTCATAAGTCATGGGTGTTAATGTAATGGATAATATGGGCCGTTACAACAGTCAACCGGACATAGACACATAAAAGGCCATTTGTCAGTTGTATTTCTCGGATAGACTTCCTGAATAAAATCCAACCAAATTGGGTTTTTTGCGTATAGAACCCTTAATCCATATTTGCAAATTTACTCCCCAAATTTCAATACTTACAAAATTAAAATTATCCCCCAATTCTTCAACAGTGAAATTTTCTACCCCTCCCACTTAACACTATCAATTTTCAAACGGTAGTTGCAATGACTTAATTCCTCCTCTCTTCATTTCCAAACAGAAAGATGAGATATGATCAATCAAGGAATTACCTACTCATGTTAGCAATTGCATTAATCTGAACTGCTTTTAGCAAGCTTGCTTCGTTAAGTACAAGATAAAAAAAGAAAAAGAAATAGAAAGCAACATGATAGGCGGATCTTCATTTCTTTAAGTTTGATATGAGTGTAGGCATTGGGCATAATTGTGATTCTTTACCTATGAGGTCATGATTTATGTTCCTCCCGAATTTGGTGGTTGCATCGGGCATGATATATTAAAGGTTATCTTCCTCTTCTATCCTACAAATTTTTCAAAAGTGTGGAGGGCCTCTTAGACAATGACGAACATGCATGCGGGTAGCCTTACAGCCAGATCTGTTACCAATTCAAGGATCTCCCTAAAAAAACACACACACACAAACAAAAGTGTAAGCATGCGGTATCTCATACCCTAGATCTAATCAATCATATCTGCTCAAGTACCTTGAATCCCTTGAAGAAGAGTACATGAACACCCAGGTCTGCCTTCGATTCATCACACCCTCATAGACTGTCATCAACAAAAGTACGAGTTAATCTTGAAATGCAATTAGGTTACATGTCAATCGACCTTCCTCTTGCCTTAAATAGTTGGGCATGCTAATCACCTGCTCTCCTCACACTGCCCCTTATGTGCGGTATTGTCTCACCGCAATAGGAAACATCAATCAAATTAGCAAAAACTCATATAACAATCTTTCTAGATAGCTCAATGTCTCTAAGAGTAAAGTGGTTGCCCTCCGTCACTAGTGGTTGCCTTGCCTATAAAGGCTCACATAACGAGGGAGCAAGGTCCATCCCTCAACCTCCTAATATTCAATCCAAGCACACATCGTATAGCAATATGCTACGGTATTACTTCTTTCTCCCTGAGAGCCAACATCATGAAACGAATATCGTACAAACCCAAGTTCCATTATCCTATAATGAACTTGTTTGGTCATATTGCCCCGTGATATGCATGGGATCTCGCATCAAGTCCGCACCCCCTGCGCCAAGTCAGACTCTTAGCCTAGCTAATAGTAAACAGTAAAGTGGATGTAGGGTTTCTATTTAGATCGCTTTAGCGTACAAATACACAACCTTATCCTAACCTAGTCAAGGATACCAAAAGAGCTCCTGCAATACAACAGTGTAGTCATTGCTATAAGCAAAATGACATTCGACACTCGATCTCAGCTTCGGACACTATCATCGCTCCGAAGAAGATCTCTTGTGTGATAAGAGCTCCTACCTACTAATGTAACTTTCTAACGGTGCATGCAATACCCTTTGTGTACCTTGTACACATCATAGACAAATATACTCCATGTAGAAATAATCAAGCAATAACAAGATGTTGAGTTTAGGTACAATGTTGACATTTCTTCCAATTTGGTAAGGTTTGACTTTCGAGACAGTTTAAGGTGGCAGACAAGTTATATAAAAAATATATTCTTGATAATTTCATAGGAGGTTTCAAGGATGAGATCAAGTATGGCCTATGATTGCAAGACCAGGAAACCTTGACCTGGTTGCCTCATCAAGTGTATATGAAGAAAAGTTGACTTGAGACAAGAGAAAACACTCAAGACAAAGTAGCCCTCGTATTAGTTCAACTACATCAAAACCAATGAGAGAGAAGCAATGACATGTCTCAATCAACTCCAATAAAGAAGTTGACCCAAAGAAGATTCAAAGAATATGAAGTAAGAATTTGTGCTAGGGTGTTATGAGAAATGGGTCAAGGGCACAAACATGAAGAGAAATGTCTTTTCTATGCTAGATAGAGTTTGGAGACGGGATGAACAATTAGAAGAGAAAAACAAATATGAAAATTGAATCTAACTAGCAACGTAACTTGCAGAGAGCTTGGTTAAATGGTCCTCTCTATTTCTGTATAAGCATAAATAAAATACATGTATCACAAAATATTAAGCATTGGGATAAGAATCAATCAATAAATATTCTAGCAGCTCAAAGCCTACTAAAAATATCATTAGCCTCACATTGGTAAATAAGCTTGGGCTCAAGGTTTCCAATTCAAGTAACTTTGTTTATTGTGCTCGAAAATAGTCGACAACTCAGTGTGCGAGGGTCGAAGATTAACAAGCTGCTATAGAAGCATATCTAATAGTGTTTCCTATGAGTGGAAGACAAATAGTGCGTGTTGATAGGATACACAACTTTTGATGATATCACTCTCAATTTCAAGAACTACATGTCCGATTTTTGCTATAGGGGTTCGAAAGCTCTTCCAGAGAAGTACCCCCAAGGACTCTGAATTCATCTATTACTATTACTTAGGAAAAGCTCTTTTCTAGTGTTCTACCCCTGTTAGTCGCCTTTTTAAGATTCCAAATATATACCAAAAAATTTACACAACTTTCAATAACTTACAACTTAACTAATAGAGGGACAAATTTGGAAAAGAACAAACAACAACCTACTTAAGAACTAACCCCTACTATTTCATAACTAACAAGTCATCCATTATTTGATAACTACCTCCACTAATTTAAATGCATGTTATTTCTCAACTACAGAAATTAGTATGTTGATTTGGTATTATAACAAAGTCTTATGGTGGAAATAGTGTCATTCATCTTAATTTAGGATAGAAATAGTGCCATTCATCTTATGTTGTGTTCATTGAGATCGTTCGCATAGAAATCCTCAATTTAGGATTAAAGAGGCTGAAAATAGTGTACGCATATTGCACAATCCTTCTATTTTCAGATATATCATGTCATGTTGCCATTCATTACTAATTTCTCAAAAAATTGCCAAAATAAAGAAATAATTACCTTAGACTTATGTCACTTTGTGCAATAATATGTTTTACGCCTATATATATTAGTATATTAGCACAGGTGTTTACAGCATTTTTTTTATTTCGCACAAGCATATACATGTCAAGCACGCATCACATGCAGTGGAGTACTGGCTGAAAATAAAGGTATCACAAAGTCCATTAAGGAGCAAGATGAGTGGTCTCTCACACAATTCATTTTGCAGGATTCCCACTCTCAACACACAGTACCTGATCAGGCTGGTGTACCTAAAGAAGTACAAGAGGTCCAGATTGAATATAAAGGGGTGTTTCAAGAGCTCAACAGCGATCAATTTCTTGAATCTGTTAACAGAAAGTTTTACTGGAAGAGGAATCATACATCAGTTTGTATTTGACACAACATGCTCACATCCTCAAGTCTTTCACATTATCAACAACTTGCATAGAGATATCATGTACTTGATAGCTGCAAATTTGCACAAACAATAATGATATGCATGCTACATTTTAAATTTACAGTTATCCAAAACCATTATCTACCCAACAAAGCTCAAATCTTTCAGAAATGAGAGTTTTCATCAAGAGAATATACCTGCATTTTGCCCTCTTTAACCAGAGAATCTACCATCGGCTCACTGTGATCAAGAATGATATTCGGTAGCCTCTTAATATCCCACCCAAGAACCCGACACACCGCGCGACCAAACCCCCGGTGGGCTCCTCTCCTCTTTGTCTTTGTTATTGCAATCGAATGCTGCACAAGCCCAACACAATCAACATACCTCCTCCCCAATTTCACCCGAATCCCTTCGCAAACCAAACAAAAGAAATCTCCTTTCTCATAGTGTTTCGCATAATACTCTCTCAACTTATCATCCTTGTCAAAAACACCTACAAAGAACTCTAAAGCCCTAGACTCCTCTTCATCATCGTCATCCTCATCCTCGTTCATCTCATCATCATCTGATCCATCCTTTGAGAAGAAAGCGCGGGAAGATTTCAGAGCCGTCTGCTGCACCAGAGTCGCACTTACCCTAGCCTGCTCCGCCGCGGAAACTGGAGGCCTGGCGTTAGGGTTTGTGGCC